AACACAACACGAAACTTATCGTATTACGGACAATTGCAGCAATAGCATGAAGGGAGATAGAGAGATGAGAATAGGCTAAAAACAACGTTGATTGATTAGAATATTCGTGGTATCAGCACGATTCGAGTATGACGTTGATTACAACCGAAGTTTCCGGTGCATCGTATATAAATAGCTCTTATCGGAAAGCTGGAGATTAAACCTTCTTGTAAAGACCCAGAGTTTACATAATTAATAAACCTAACCCTTGTGTGATTTTTGTCTTCCTTCTTTATAATTCTTTATTTTTCGCAGCTCGGACGTGGGAGGTCCCACACATGCTCACCGTGAATTAATTATCAGCGAATAATAAACGCTCTCCTCCATTGTTGTCTTCTCTTGCGGTTCACACAATTAGAAATACCATTTTTCTTCTTTCTCTTGCTCCGCCGTTGTTGTTGTTGTTTGTTTGTTCTGTAGGTCAGTTAACCAGGGAATAAATTACGGACGGCGCGTTCTCTAAATATGCATAGACCGTGATCTTCCTTTGCGTGTCTGCCGGTGTTATTTCTGGGCATTTCAGAGACAAATCCGTTCCAAAAATAAACATCATCATCGTCGCGATACACCACCAATAACTACAAGTTTTGCATTGAGAATGCAATTTGGATGAGGATTTAATTAAGATAGTGGCGATGATGATGATTGTCGTGGATAATGGATGGGTCTGTGTTTCCACTGGCAATGATTTAATGGAGAGAGAGACTGCACCCACCAAACCGTGAATCTCATCCGTGTCTGCTCGCTCGCTCTTTTCTCTTACTCACATATTTCGTTTTCCCTCCGCAGAACGGAATTCCGCTCGCAATTTATGCCAAGGATTCTTTAATTCCGCGCATAGAACATCGGGGTTTCTTAATTAATGAGATTTGCGCTTTCTCGATCCATTAGATTTTTCTTTTCGATTTCCTAATTAAATTAAGTTTCACATAATTTTTATTACATGTTCTTGTTTATCTTCATGTGTAATAGATTAATTGATATTTTCAAAAGCGAACCAAATAATTAAGGTGATTGAATTGAAATGAATTCAACCCGTTGTTATCGAATTTTGGTAGTTTCGTTGAAACAAGAAACCTTCGAGAATTCGGCGAAGCCCCATGAGTTTTGTTGAAATCCGACCGTGCCTCATCCGTAATTAGATGGAATCAAGTCACATCGGATCATCCTCAAAAGACATGATCTTTTTTGTAAACATAAATTCGAACGTTTTATATTTTTTATAATCAAAATCGCAACATTGACACATATTTCTTTTCTCTCTCTGTTTCAGAAGCGTTTTTTTTGTTGTTGTTCCCGGTCTGCAGAATTCGGCAGTCAGTCAAGGATCCTTTCAGCTTCGTTCTCATTTTGTTGCACGTACAGACATTTTTTTTTTGTCGAGGTTGGGCGCAATTGAATTTTTCCCGAGCAGACTGCATTGAGTGTAGAAGACTGGGTAGACAAGGTCGACGAAGATATGATGGTGGGTAGCAGAGGAGGGCGCGCATTATTGTGCGTCTACGGAGAACCAGAACAGGTAAATCAAGGTACCAACAACCGAACCGGGCAGGTGCCATTTAAGAGTAAACGATTTAAAGAGTCCCAAAGAGTCTTTGTATATAATACCATCACCCAAGGGAATTCACGCAGCTTTCAATATTATGTACAAATGTAATAATGCATCATAGAAGGGGGCCGCACCCACGCACGCACCGGAACCCCGAAACATCTAAGCTGATCTCTGACTCTTCGGATAGCATCATCATCATCATCCGACGAATTGAATTGTTAATTTAATTGGTTTTGATGGATTTTAAAATGGAATTTCGTCTTCAATTTTTTTTATAGCTATTTTCGGCTCTCGTCTACAGTCTAATTACTTGCTCTCCTCACATATATATATATATTATATTGAGCAACAAAGTCACGGCCGATTCAGATGAGTCTTCGTCCAAGGCTGCTGCGTTCGAAGCCTGCTCTGCGAGTGCGTGGGAAAGTGCAACTTAATAAGAAGAAAATGATCAAAAGCGAAAACGGAGCCGTCGTCTTTCCGTTTATTTATTATTCATATTCTTTATGCATCTCTGTACAGATCTACATTAATTGACAGACGTATAGTTACCGCGCATAAATCTACTCTAATTTATTTTCTTTCCTCTTTTTTTTTCAGTTTCCTGTACGCGATAGAAGTGTAGAATATGCAGATTAACAAAACGCATAAAATAATTAAAGTAAGTATTAGGTGATGAAAGTACGTGACTTAATAGTTGCTTTTACAAGTGATAAAATAATAATAATAATAAAAATAAAAACAGGATGGTTAACATATTTAATTTTAGAAGAGGGTGTAGCTTGGAAGCAATTCGAAACGATCCTCATGGGAGGGATGCGGCGCTCCCACAACAAATCCATCAGAGCCAACGAACCTAATTACATTATTCATGCAATTGGGGCGAAACATGAAACTTTCTGTTCCGATCATCCGTCCACCAAGACTTCGATTTCGTCAACAATGCGACTACACATGAGTCTTCGCATTATCAGCGCGAAGTTAATAAATAAAGACCCCGAGGTTATCTGGCCATTGTGTGGCTCCGAACTAATAATAAGATACAGTCCGAGGAAAACGATCAATCCATACCATCCATCCATCTATCTATTTATCCGACCATCCAAAAGGAGGAGAGTTAGAGAGAAGAAGAGGTCGGCTCTTCGATGAAGCTAATAATACGATATGCTGCAGCAGCTGCAGCCTCCCGTTTTATTGCATGAACTTCAAAAGTTGCATCGCATTGCATGTGTGTAATACTTTGGGAGAATGGCCAGGCCGAGTGTAGAGAGCAATAGCCTCGGACAAGGTTAACTGCACACAAATCGCTAATGAAGCTGCGAAGATACACTTCATTTTCCACTATTAATAATCGCCGTGGAAATGACGAAAACCGGTATTCCGAAATATTAAAATTTGCGAATACATCAAACCTACGGTTAAATATCTTCGCGCGAAGAACAGACAAGAGGAGCGCGAAGAGACGCGGTGCAGGGCATGGAATTAGAATTACTGTTAAGGTAAATGGCGGCCGTTTAAATCTGCGAAAAGTGCGAGACGTGCAGGCATCGCAATTAGTTTTTGAGCTCGTCGTCTCTCCATGAACGTTGTTTCAAACTAAATTAATGCGCTCGGAAATGCAACAAAACCTACTTTCTAAAACGCGCCGCGATAAAGAGCCATCACTCATATCCTACAATTAACCACCGGAAACTCAACATTCGATTATATTCTTGTTTTTATTATTATTATTTTTTCTTACTGTTCTAAAACACTTCGTACAATTTTCAGTTCAAACAACGCGCTTTGTTATTACCGTTGCCATGTAGAGAGTATTCAGTTTTCAGCAATTGAAAGATCATTTGTCACGGAGAGAAATTGAATTGGATTATAATTGTCGTAACCCATATAATCGCATTACGGTGTGGATGGATGATTCCCCATTGAATTGGTTCGTTTGTGTGCTGTATGTCGATGCGGGTCATCCGGAGTTGGTTTCTCTTTTAATTGATGCGCGGATAAAAATAGGATGCTGCGAGCCGTCGACGACGAAACAAGCGTAAGCAGCCTCCTTCTTGTTTATCGCTACATTAATATACATGCACCGTATAAATAAAAAGCGCGTTTATTTTCTCAAGTGGCTCGGATACGCAGAAAAATACCGCCCACGCTATAAATATCAAAGAGCTTTGAAAGTTCGCGCCAATTGCACTTTGTGTCTGCTTGTTTGTGCAAAACCACCACAAATTTACACCTTTTCCCATAATTTTATCCGTAAATAATCAGTTGATTTTTTACAAGTATTTAGAAAATTTTCCAGCCTATACACGCATTGAAATCACTCGAATCGAAAAATCGGATAACCCGTTTCATCAAAGATGATTTGACTATTAATCGAAGTATTAACTATATCCTTGTATCGATTAATATACAAAATGATTAGAAATTTGTTGATTTATATTTAAACTTAAATCATTATTGTAGAAACTTTTAAAAAGTATTTAGAAAAGCAGCTACATTTTTTTTTGTTTTATTTCGTAATGATAATCGGAAATTATTTAGTTTATATTATTATACAATGATTATCAAATTGTTGTTTGAACCTAAAAATTAGTCATCATAACGTGAATCATAAATGAATGTTAATCTAAAATCGTCGGAAAGGATGTTTACAGAACGAAACCAGAAAGTCTCAAAGAATTATTAATGTAAAACATTAATTATATAGATTTTGATTGAAGTGTTGGAGTTTTGTTTGTTAAAAAATAAATAAATATAAATTATTGATTGACGGGCGTTGAGCTGCGAAATTTAAATAATTATGGGCGTTCTTCGTAGAAGCTAATTAAATGGTTTAACGCGTATATTAATTATAGTAATGTTTTCGGTATTTTAAATTGTACAACACATGTAATAAGTATAATTGTAAAGTTTGCAGAAATTTAATGAATTTGTAGTTAGGTTTGGATTTGTGGTTGGTGCATTGCTGAAAGCTGTGGAGATGCTATTGATCGATACGGCCGTTGAAGTTGACTTTAAATAATTGTGGGCGTTAATTGTATGTTGATTAAAAGTTGTTTTTTTTAATATGATAATATAGAATTAGGGATTTAGTGAGATTTCGGTGTTTTCTGAATTGTTGTTTACGATCGTGTATGGATGGATTTGGTGGCTTTGTGAAGCGTGTTTTCATTTTGAAACACGCGACGAAGAATGTCAATATGGCGGCGGCGGGCATCGCTGAAGCATCCCTGACCCGGCCGGGTTCAGGCCATCAACCCTACCACCACCATAATCATCGTCATCGATGGATGGAAAGACATCCACCAACGCAAATATTGAGAATGAAATGATGTTTACTACAAGATTCATTGATCGATTGATTGATTTTTTTTTTATGATTTTCAGATAGATGCTGAAAAGGACCTACCTCGTATTGCAGACCGGCCAACCTGAGCCAGGTTTCCACCTTAAGGCAATAGGGCGACAGCGATGGAAGCAGGGGGGTGCGGGTGAACTGGTACAGATAGACGACTTCCTTCTCGAAGTTGTTCTTATGCACGACGACTTTGGGTGCCGCCGGTTCCTTTGCGGTGGTTGCGACGGCGGCGGCGACGACGGGCGTCTCAGCCTCTCCGGAGTTTTCCTGCTTTGCCTCTTCGGCTTTGTTGTCGGTGACCGCCGGAGGTGCCTCCTCCTTGATATCCTTGGTCTCCGTCGCCGGGATGTTGTTCTCTACTTCTGTTGCCATCTCAGCTATACTTCTTTATCTGTTTATTAACTCTTCTGGATGCTCTTCTATACGAATTGCTCTTTACGAGTAGAGCCCACTAACTGCTTTGATAAAACTACCACTGGGAGTTGCTGCTGCTGGTTGGTTGGTTTTGGTTGTAGTGTATCTCTTCAGCACGCAACGACGTCGACGCACGTACAGTCTCAAAGCTCGAGCTGGAGTGTTTTCGCGACGCCTAACCAGAAGCGTTGCCGGTCGGAGCCGTAGGGGGAACATCGCGTGACGTCACGCCTCGTTTTCAGCCCCCACCAGGCGCGGCAGGGCCCTGGGTTTCTGGGTTTTCTGTAAAGGCCATGTTGCCATCGTGTGCACACCCATCCATCCACACGTTCCCCATGTGCCCCACCCTCGGACGCGCGCCAGTGGCGTCGGCGTCGGTTCGCCCTTTTCGACTTTCTTCTTTTATTCGAAAAAAAAAAGGGAACAATTTTCGCGAAATCCATCCCTCGCAAGAATGGGTCACTGTTGCCAACCGGACCTACGACCCTCTTGAGTTCGTGAGAACCTCGACGGCGCGACGCCAATTCAACCCTCGCATATAATCTTTAATTCATTCCCGGTTACTCATCTTATCAAACCACTATTATATTACATAATGCAATTCCACGAAAAATTCATTGATTCATGTTTATATAAACAAAAGGAAATGAATAACTTGCCTAGCAACAACAGCTACTATGGAATACCACAAGGCTGCATTCTTTACCCGCTTTCATTCAAAACCAATTGAATTTGTTCTTTAACTTTCTTGTCTTTAATTTTTAAATTTTTAAATCTGAAATTATCAAAAAACATATTTAGACTCAAACATAAAATCAGTATCGTTTCTCACGTTATCAACTATTACCTCATACTTCCACGAAACTTAATTTCCTCAAACTATATTATAGAGTATAAAACATTAAACTTTTATTGCTTATCGGACTCTTATCCTTTGCACACAATTCCGCAGAGATTATTTCACTGCAAAGGAAACCATCGAATTTTTAGCTGAAATAAGAATAATCTCCAACCTTTGCTAGTATTATCATCATCATCTTTAAGGAAACACTTTTAGATTCTTGTCGCCTTTTTGTTACGCGACATAGTCTTAATCTTATGTAAAGTTATGAAATTTCAATGTCACAGGTGACACGCGATCAATAAGGATTAACAAAAGGTCCATAACTTGCTTAGCAACTAGCTTAGAAATCAATGATAACACATAACAATTTTCTATTTAATTTTGTTTAACAGCAAACTCTATTTATATAAAATGATAATTCTGATGAATATTCATTAATTAGGCAAATCGACGTCGTTGTGAACGTAAGCTCCCTTAAAAAAAAAAACATAAATATAATTTATGGACTAAAATCATACTTCTATCGAATATTCAATTAGGGCATTTATATTTTGTGGGGGCAGTACCATATACGGGCCCTTTGTGCATGCATCGAACAACACTGCGACCGTTCTTCATTCAAAGACAAGCTCCATTCATTCCAAACGATGCATTCTTTTGTTATATTCACCAATAACATATATTTAAAATATACTACAATAATAGAGCGACCAAAAAAATTATGTTTAATTTAATAAATAACAGAGATATGCATCAAATCTCAAAAAATAGGAAAATAACGATGTGAAACAGAAAATTAAATTTTCCAAATATTACATTTAAAATATATTTTCTTGTTAGATGTTAAAAGTAAATACAATTATGTTTTTTTCAATCTATTTACGCTCGTAAATAACAAAATTTGGAAATTATAATTAGTATTCCTTATTTTGTTTATTTAAACATAAATTTGGGGTTGCCAATGATCGCAATGATAATTAGTTACAATTTCAAAAATATATTCATTTAAAATTATTATTTAAAATAACATAAAAAATAAATAGATTTTTCTATGTTGCCTTAGATAAATTTAGGCTAAACGTTATTAGTAATTTGTAATTATCTTATCTAGTCTAAACATTATTACTTTGTAAGTGTTAATTTATAATATCCGTTTTGTAAATTATTATCTTGAGCAAATATCGAGTTATTTTCAAGGAAACACACGCATACAACACGTATACTAATAGGTGTTAGGACAGGATAAATCGGTGCCGCCTAAGAAAGTTTGCTGAATCGAAATTGGAAATTTAGAATTTACGTTTGCCAATTCTGGGTAAAACGGAGGAAATATGGTCGAGGCATGTCCTGTAAAAGAAACAGTAATATTTTCGGTAGGTATAAATGGTTGGTAAATCTTTTACCGTAAAAGATGTTGAAGAAAATGCACGAGTGAGAACGTTACATCTTAATCCCTGCTTATTGATAGTCCATTGAATTAGTGGAAGTCGGGGTCATTATATATATAAAAAAAAATGTATCAAGTGTCTTTATTGACCCGAAAAGTCAAGCGGCCCGAGATGAATGTAATTTGATAATAGTTAATTTTAATGGGGGAGAATTTCTATTTGAATAGTTCCATTCATTTCGAAAAGGAAAAAAACAATCTGTTATAATTTTTGTTCAGTGTCTGGTCTGAAATGTTTGTTATCAATACATAAATAATTCGTGTATTAATAATTATTTATGCATAGGATTTGGACCTTGCCGTTTCCATTCGTGCGTTCGCCGAAGACGGAAGAAGAAAATATTTTGTTTTGGAAAATGCACGGAGGTGATACAATTACGATGTATTGGGTGTCCACCGGTGTGCGGTGCATACGAGATATGTGTGCGGATAGGTCACTTGAATGTTACGCATTTAACCGCAGAGCCTGCATTTTCGATTCCATACGAATTAATCTCGTTCCAAATGCAAGAATACAAACTTAACTTCTTCCCACTCGTTTCCGTATTGTAACAAAAAAAATAATATGGTTTATAAAATTTTATTTTTAGATGATTACGTTTCTTGTTTATGTTGAACACTATATAAATATTATTTAGTATTAATATGTGTTGCAATAGTGACTAACAACAATAAAAAGTGTGAATTGATCTGCTGGAATATTACGTTTAAATATTTCTTTTGCAGATTGATGGTATCACCTAGATTTGGTGCGAAGATGAACGACCTTTGATAGTGTCGAAGAGTATTTGCGGGTTGTAGGGGGACAACATCGTCAGATTTAACAATTGATTAAGTATAAGCTTCCTGAATGTTGCAGCGATGGACGGGCAACGGGCAGAAGCAGGGGGATTTCAATGTCTTTCGAAGGGATAGGAGATATTGCTGCGACTACTACGCCACTGGTCGTCTTCTACGGGCTCGTTGACCCATCATCCTTCGTCCATCCGCTCAATCTAAACTGAAAACGGCTTCGCCACAAATTACGCTTAATTCGCCTTTTAAATGGACCCAAGTATTGCTCGGTTTGAACCGTGCACACATAGACGATATGTACGTTCGTTATCAATATAAATTGATAAAGGAGACCACCACCGCTCTTCGTCCTCCGCCCCCTCATCACCGCACGTCTGCGAGACCATTAATTTGCCATGAATGCTGAAATAACACAAACATGACTCACGCCCGCCTAAAGCCATTTAAACTTATTAAAAATCATCATCTGTCCACGCACGTCGCTCGTTTCAACGATAGTCCAGTTCCCCCTTCGACACTACATTCAAAACGTTAATTCAACCCCCCTTTCTAACGCAATTACAACTTTTTCCAATAATCCACCACAACGCACATTCAATTAACTGCATCGATCCAAACCAATTTCCTCGACCATTCTTTTTGTACATTCACAAATACAAATCTACAACATGCACCTACAATTATCACATTTCGATTTCTGATACTTTTTTCCCTTGCACCCTTTGATTACTACCAGTCATTCTTCATTAGCAAACAAATAGAAACATATTATAATTATGAATTTTAAAAGAAACTAACTTAACATTGTCTCTATGTTATCAATTATTAAACTATATATATATATAATTATCCAATTTTAGAAAAGATATGTAAATTTTATAATTTCATTTTTAAGAATTTAATAACAATAAGTCAACGAATATGGAAAATTAAACTTTATTCTTCATATTTTAAAGTAGTTAAAAGTTATTTCTGTTCAATCATCGATTTTATAAGCATTTTAAAAGACGTTAGATAGGCAACTTAATTAACACTAATTGAAGATCAAAACTGTGAACAAAAGAACAAGTTGTATTTATTCTCGTATTGGGAAAGGAAAAGTAGTAAAAGTTAAATTGTGTTAATAGTATTTATTAAAATACGAAGGTAGATGATTTGGTGGAACACAACACTGTCTTTCTTCTGAATTATTTACACTAACTAAGCGACTAACAACAAATATTAATCAAACATTAAACCAATATTTAAAAAAATGCTTATTATTAACTTAAGTTACATATAATAATTACAGTTGGATCGATGCATTTCTCAATATAAAGAAATGGTCTTGCGTTTCGTTTCTTTGCTTTTTTTTTCATCGCAGAAAAACGCTGCGTTTGGAACATAATTTGAGTAGAAATTAAATAAAAAGTAATCAAGATTAGATGGAATAACGTAGTTTACAATCAAGGAACAGAACGGTTCACTCTCACAATTTTATTTAATATGCATTTTGATCACACTCTTGTCCTCCCCGAGTCTCCAGCCAGTCTATCAACTATCTAGAAAAAAGAATACATTGCAGAATCTCAATGTTAGATGAAAGTGTTGTACACTTTCATCCGTATGGTATTTTACTAACCCCACTAACTCCCGGCATATTTAATAATGTGCCAATCACAGGTACCCTTCTCAGGAAGTTTATAGCAACTGGGAAGAATCCACTAAAAATTTGTATCATTAATCTCTGTATATGAAAAGTGATGTAAAGTAATTTACCTGAATAATAAAACAAAACCATAGGTTTCAAAGAGCATTCCGATCAACGGGAAGCCAACCAACACAATTATGATGCCACCAAAGAATGCAATTGATGCTTTGACTTTGTGTCTCTGAAAGAAAAACCTGAATGTCCTTTCCAGACCTATCACACAGGCCAAGCCACAGATGAACAGAATCTGAAAATTGATTTTTAATTGTTGTAATTTCAAGCATATTATCTTACATTTCCTAGAGCCAGAAGACTCTTATCGAAGAGCAGAATAACACCCAGGAAGAGGAAAAACATCCCGAATCCGGCCAAGCCCACTCCGATTTCTGCAAATTGATTGATTAGAGTATTGAAGATTGCTAGATGCACATTATTGTTTACTCTGGGTGTCTGACACTTCGAACATTTTTGAATGATAATTTATTTATTATTGTGAATGAATTAGAATGTAAAGACTACAGAGCAGCTTTCAAAAACATAACCTAACATCGGATGGGGACTGTCGCAGATCCACGTCATGCGATTGAATTGCTTTTGCAGACGGACTAATATTGTAATTAGGGTCGAGACCTCGCATTCTGTTGCATAATAATATTCAAGATGTTCCAATTTAGGAATTCCCTTGCTACAATTAAAATCGTATTTGATACAACCCTGAATACGGTTGATAACAATTCAAATTTAATTCGAAATAAAAATACAATTCAAATTTTAATCATAGAACATAGATTTTCATTTAGAAGAGTTTAGGTATTGAACAATGAAACACTTTCGAAATAAAACTTGTTAAATAAATATGATAATTTCAAGATTTGAGAGAAAGACAAATATGAAATCAGAATATTTTAATTAAATTAAAGTAATAAGTTTATGTGATCAAAATATTTAAATGTGTGATAAATCTAACAGAAATATTATATATAAGTAACAAATAAATAAATAGTAAACGCAACCAGATATACACTAAATTATTTAGTATTATAATTTAATATTCCACTTCAAATATTCAAATGTATATTGCTGTTGAATGTAGTTACTCCCAGAAGAAATTGAAACTTGGATATTGATCTTGAAACTTCAGAGCTTAAATAGCGTATAAATAAGAGTATGTAGCTGATTTAGTTTTCGGTTAATCAGAAAATAAAATTTGGTATTCAATAAATGACAGGTTGAAATAATGTTTTCGAAACACGCTTTTATTTTTATTAGACGTTGCGCCTAGAAGAAATTGAAACTTTGTTAATCATCTTGAAAATCCAGAGATTAAATTCAGCATAAATACGTCTATGTAGTTAATATGCTTTTCTTAATAATCAGAAAATAATATTTGGTATATAACAAGTGACAGTTTATAAAGTAACGTTTTCGAAAACCGTCAATAATTTTATTAGCAGTTGCTCCCAGAAGAAATTAAAACTTGGATATTTATCTTGAAAACCCAGAGATTAAAATGAGCAGAAATACGTCTATGTAGCTAATATAGTTTTCTTCATAAACAGAAAATAATATTTGGTATATGACAAGTGACAGTTCAGAAAGTAACGTTTTCGAAAAACGTTTATATTTTTATTAGCAGTTGCTCCCAGAAGAAATTTAAACTTGGACATTGATCTTGATATCCCAGAGATTAAAATGAGCATAAATACTTGTGTGTAGCTAATATAGTTTTCTTCATAACTAGAAAATAATATTTGGTATTTTGAATTTTACGCCTAATGTATAGACAACTCAACATACTATATTCCATATACTACAATTTTCTCCCAAAAGAAATTAAAACTTGGAAAATGTTCTTCAAATACTCGAGAATAAAATTAGCTTAAATACCAGCTTGTAATTGTGTTTATTTTTCTTTGTTATCTGAAAATAATATTTGATATGTGACAATTGACAGTTCGAAAAGTAATGTTTTCGAAAACGTTTATATTTTTATTAACAGTTGCTCCCAGAAGAAATTGAAACATGGACATTGATCTTGAATACCCAGAGATTAAGATGAGCATAAATACTTGTGTGTATCTAATATAGTTTTCTTCTTAAATAGAAAATAATATTTGGTATATGACAAATGACAGTTCAGAAAGTAACGTTTTTGAAAAACGTTTATATTTTTATTAGCAGTTGCTCCCAGAATAAATTGAAACTTGGATATTGATCTTGGAAATCCAGAGATTAAAATGAGCATAAATACTTGTGTGTAGCTAATATAGTTTTCTTCATAAATAGAAAATAATATTTGGTATATGACAAGTGACAGTTCAGAATGTAACGTTTTTGAAAAACGTTTATATTTTTATTAGCACTTGCTCCCAGAAGAAATTGAAGTATGGACATTGATCTTGAAAATCCAGAAATTAAAATTAGCATAAATACGTCTATGTAGCAAATATAGTTTTCTTCATAAACACAAAATAAAATTTGTTATTTTGAATTTTGCGCCTAATGTACAGACAACTCAACATACAATATTCTATATACTACAATTTTCTCCCAAAATAAATTAAAACTTGGACAATGTTCTTCAAATACTCGAGAATAAAATTAGCACAAATACCAGTTTGTAATTGTGATTAGTTTTTTCGTTATTTGAAAATAATATTTGATATATGACAAATGACATTTCGCAAAGTAACGTTTCCGAAAAACGAGCATATTTTTGTTAGCAGTTGCTCCCATAAGAAATTGAAACTTGGACATTGATCTTGAATACCCAGAGATTAAAATGAGCATAAATACTTGTATGTAGCTAATATAGTTTTCTTCATAAACAGAAAATAATATTTGGTATATGATAAGTGACAGGTCAGAAAGTAACGTTTCCGAAAAACGAGCATATTTTAATTAGCAGTTTCTCCCAGAAGAAATTTAAACTTGGAGATTGATCTTGAAAACGCAGAGATTAAAACAAGCATAAATATGTCCATGTAACTAATATAGTTTTCTTGAAAAACAGAAAATAATATTTGGTATTTTGAATTTTGCGCCTAATTTATAGACAACTCAACATACAATATTCTATTTACTACAATTTTCTCCCAAAAGAAATTAAAACTTTTGTTCTTTAAATACTCGAGAATAAAATTAATATGAATACCAGTTTGTAATTATGATTAGGTTTTTCGTTATATGAAAATAAAATTTGATATGTGACAAGTGACAGTTCAGAAAGTAACGTTTTCCAAAAACGTTTATATTTATATTAGCAGTTGCTCCCAGAAGAAATTGAAACTTGGATATTGATCTTGGAAATCCAGAGATTAAAATGAGCATAAATACTTGTGTGTAGCTAATATAGTTTTCTTCATAAATAGAAAATAATATTTGGTATATGACAAGTGACAGTTAAGAAAGTAACGTTTTTGAAAAACGTTTATATTTTTATTAGCAATTGCTTCCAGAAGATATTGAAACTTGGACATTAATCTTGAAAACCCAGAGACTAAAATGAGCATAAATACGTCTATGTAGCTAATATAGTTTTCTTCATAAACAGAAAATAATATTTGTTATTTTGAATTTTGCGCCTAATGAATAGACAACTCAACATACAATATTCTATATACTACAATTTTCTCCCAAAAGAAAATAAAACTTGGACATTGATCTTCAAATACTCGAGAATAAAATTAGCATAAATACCAGTTTGTAATTGTTATTAGTTTTTTCGTTATATGAAAATAATATTTGATATGTGACAATTGACAGTTCGCAAAGTAACGTTTTCGAAAAACTTTTATATTTTAATTAATAGTTGCTCACAGAAGAAATTTAAACTTGGACATTGATCTTGAAATCCCAGAGATTAAAATGAGCATAAATACTTGTGTGTAGCTAATATAGTTTTCTTCATAAATAGAAAATAATATTTGGTATATGACAAGTGACAGTTCAGAAAGTAACGTTTTTGAAAAACGTTTATATTTTTATTAGCAATTGCTCTCAGAAGAAATTGAAACATGGACATTGATCTTGAAAACCCAGAGATTAAAATGAGCATAAATACTTGTGTGTAGCTAATATAGTTTTCTTCATAAATAGAAAATAATATTTGGTATATGACAAGGGACAGTTCAGAATGTAACGTTTCCGAAAAACGTTTATATTTTTATTATCAGTTGCTCCCAGAAGAAATTGAAAATTGGACATTGATCTTGAAAACCCAGAGACTAAAATGAGTATAAATACGTCTATGTACCTATTATAGTTTTTTTCATAAACAGAAAATAATATTTGTTATTTTGAATTTTGCGCCTAATGAATAGACAACTCAACATACAATATTCTATATACTACAAAATTCTCCCAAAAGAAAATTAAACTTGGACATTGATCTTGAAAACCCAGAGATTAAAATGAGCATAAATACTTGTGTATAGCTAATATAGTTTTCTTCATAAATAGAAAATAATATTTGGTATATGACAAGTGACAGTTCAGAAAGTAACGTTTCCGAAAAACGAGCATATTTTAATTAGCAGTTTTTCCCAGAAGAAATTGAACTTGGACGTTGATCTTGAAAACCCAGAGATTAAAATAAGCTTAAATACGTCCATGTAGCTAATATAGTTTTCTTGAAAAACAGAAAATAATATTTGGTATTTTGAATTTTGCACCTAATGTATAGACAACTCAACATACAATTTTCTATTTACTACAATTTTCTCCCAAAAGAAATTAAAACTTTTGTTCTTCAAATACTCGAGAATAAAATTAGTATGAATACCAGTTTGTAATTATGATTAGGTTTTTCGTTATCTGAAAATAAAATTTGATATGTAACAAGTGACAGTTCAGAAAGTAACGTTTTCCAAAAACGTTTATATTTTTATTAGCAGTTGCTCCCAGAAGAAATTGAAACTTGGAAAGTGATCTTGAAAACCCAAGGATTAAAATGAGCATAAATACTTGTGTTTGGCTAATATAGTTTTCTTCATAATTAGAAAATAATATTTGGTATATGACAAGTGACAGTTAAGAAAGTAACGTTTTTGAAAAACGTTTATATTTTTATTAGCAATTGCTCCCAGAAGAAATTGAAACTTGGACATTGATCTTGAAAAATCAGAGATTAAAATGAGTATAAATACGAGTATGGGGATGATATATTATTTTTGTAATCAGAAAATAATATTTGGTGTATAACAAGTGACACTAGCTAGCTAGCAGTTACCAGTAACTTAAATGTTGGAAAATATAATAATTAATATTTAGTTTTGTTTTATTAAAAAGAATTCCTTCTGTTTTTTGGCAGTACACAAGTATGCATACAATTTTCATTTCGTTATTTAATTGTTATTAAAAATCGATTATATTTCAAGTATGTTATTTTTTTCTCCTTCTCATATATAATATATAATTATATAGCAGTTTCTTTTCCTTTTTTCCTTTCATATTCTTTTTACATTTCCTTTCCGTCTCACAGTATTTACAAAGTTCGTATGCTCTGTTGTATTTTTTTTGTTTAATTTAAATTATTTTTATCTTGAATGCACTCCGAAATCAAAATCAGTCATGAACAATAGTCGCAAGAACAGAGATTTGAACGTATACAGTTCGGAACAGAAACCAAGTAGGAAGCATTAGTCGACGTACAACAAATGGCATGCAAATTGATACAATAATATAAAGAAATTAAAATTAAACAGAACGAATTAATGAAACACAATGAAGGCGAATTGATTCATATTATATCACATACACATCCTAAAACTAAGGGGGAATCACCAAAAACGTAAATGGTCAAGCCTTGTTTGCGTTTCTTTGTAATTATTTACATTGATGGAAATAAAAAATATATATATATGTAAATAAATTCTTAACTACGTACACGCTCACATAAGAAGAACATTATCAAAAAATCGCTTGGATCACTCAATTCGTATATACTTAAGATAATTAATTGAAACGCTTGTCTTTGGGGAGAAGCGCTAACTTTGGAAGTTGTCTCAAAGAAAAATTGGAATGTTAACGACTTCTCTTAACGAGCGATTCAAATGTGTAATTCTTTGCAATATTCAGCAAAAAGAAACTTAAGTTTATAGTGAATCGGGAGAAAAAAATCCCTTTCCTTCAATTCTTCTCACTTACCACTTATGTACAAGGTAAAAACGGAATGCAGTCTGATTATGTACACAAAACAAGTCGCGTTCGGGAAGTGTCGAAATTCGCGAAGAATCTTTCATTCTTTCTTTGTCTTGTTTATTTTATTATATTTTTTTTGTGTTTGTTTTGTTTGGCGAGGCTTCAGCCTTTCGTTTTTCTTTTGTTTTAGGAAGCGCCTCGTCAGTCGATTTGTCTTTGAGAGAAAACCTAATTTGGCAAATTATCAATCAAAAATATCGTCACTTTATATTTCATTTTTTTTTTGTATAGAAGAAAAAACGTTTTTTTTTTTTTTTTGTTCTTTTAAATCTTTTTATCTCTTGGCAACTATTTGATCCCAATTATCTCACATCGGCGTCCGCCTCGGGAGAAACGCATAAAGAATTCAAATCAAAGATCGTCTTTATATGTAAAAAGAAAGGAAGAAACGAACGTAAACGAAATCGCCTCCAATAGGAGGACGAAACGATTGTTGTCTTTCGTCAGCGGCTTTTGTGCGCGAAATCGCAATTCTCACCGTGCGAAAACCATCTTTTTTTTTTTGTGTGTAATCCTTCTTCTCCTCGTCTTGTTTTGGCGATGCAACAACGCATCATCTCATCTTGGTATATATATATATATAATTTGTTGTTTTCTTTAAATCTGTTCAGATCTAAAACTATCGTCCTGCATGTGTTTTTTTTTTCTCTCGAACATATCACAAAGTCATGAACTGTAAAAGCCCCTGTTGCAGTCATCATATGGAGGCACGGTGATTGGGGTAGATTGCCGGAGGCGGCAGGAGCGGACCCTGCGGCAGATGCAGCTCGTGCATCGGCAGGACGGGCAGCAGGTGCCTGATTTGAGTGGGTGATCTCCTTACGCTAAACCTACAAAAATATACAATCAGTTCAACAGTTCTTGATTGCTGCATTACGATTATTGTGATACCTATGCCTTTTGGACGAGAAGCATCCGCAAGGGCTGGAACACACGGAGGGATTCACGTCTATCGACGTCGTTTCAGTACCATGATGACCTCCTAGATGACCGCTCAGAATTGATCCGTTCGCAGTTATCACGTCTCCTTCCAGTCGCACCGCTCCAGCCAAAGCCTGAAAACACATACAAAACATGTATCAATCATTGAATAATTGATTAATGAGTCTCTTCAATTGAAAATATTGAATTTGTAGTAAAGTGTAATTCGAGCTGAAGAATTGATTGATATTCTCGTCAATTTATGGTGAAATGTAAGTCGAACAAATTGAGGTCAGATCCCAGATGCATCAGATCAGTCAGTAGGTTATTAAGGTGAAGGTGTATTTATCGGACGTCCAATTAATCTCTTCACTTTGTGATCTCACCTGCATGGCCTGAGCCTCGTCTCTCCTCTCGTCCTCCGTGTTCATCGTCACGAATCGCAGCACCAATAAATTCAAAGACGCGGCGACGATGGCCAAACCGAAGAGGATGAAGATCAGCGCGAACATCACGTACTCTGGCTTATCGCTGAGAGCGTTGTCCTTCTGCAGAGCCACCTGAAGAAACGAGAGTATGGAAGTCGTTTGAGTATGAAGAAGGAAATGATGATATGTAGATTTAAGACTTACCATATCTCCGAAACCGATGGTGGTGAGGGTGATGAAGCAGTAGTAGACAGAGTCGAAGTAGCTCCAACCCTCGTAGCAGGAGAAGGCCGCAGCACCTCCTGCGATGGTGAGCGAGCTGAGGGTGGTCACCACGCAGATGAGATCGAGTTCGGAGGCGTTCGTGTGTCGGCAGTGCAGGGAAGACTTTACTGAACGAATTATGACGCTGCATTCCACCATTTCCATATAATAATTCCAGAAAACAGATAAAAATTAATTAGAAATATTTTCATAAGCATGACATTAATTATTCAGTGATCAAAAACCCGGCGATCCACCAGCTACAAATACATTAGTAATATTAAATTAGAATGAATAGAAAGAACTGCAGTTTAAAATTATGTTTGTTTACCTGCTCAATCTGTTGACGCGTTCTCCTATACTTTGGAACATGACGAGTCCTAGGGGAATGCCGATCATCGCGTAGCACATGGTGAAGAGTTTTCCGGCGACGGTGCTGGGCGTGGAATGGCCGTATCCGATGGTTGTGAGAACGGTCGTGGCGTAGTAAAACGCTCCGGCAAATTTCCACTGTCTTCCTGCCCGATGCGGCTCCGACTTCAGCACGACCGTCTCCAATATCCGAAAATCCTCGTCGGTTATGCCGTACTTCCTCCTTACCATCCACTCGATCTCTGCACAACAACAATTCAACTTATTCTGATGGTTTTTCTTCATGGTTTCTGTTCAATTCAATTATTTTATTTATTTTTGTTTTTACATGAAAACATAAAGTTCATTGGCATGGCAAATATTCGTGTTTCACGGCGATCCAATGTAAATATTTCCGTTTGTCTTGTGCACATTTCCTGATCGTCACCGCTGAATTTTCATATAACCGACGAATTTCTCCATTTGTTTACAAGTTTGTGCGGTCGAATCTCCCTGGACGTCAGCAAATACGGACTTGTTTTTTCACATTTTATGCATGTACTCTACGAATATTACCCTTCCAGCTCAATTCGACTCATAACAAAATTTCGTTTATCGTCGAAGAAAACGTCTTGGGAACAAACATAAATTTATACGATTTTGTCATAATAAAAGCGTTTCCACTTTCAAAAAACTGAAAAACTTATGGTCATCAACCCTTTGCATTGATTTTTAATTTTCAATATCACTTCATTTTTATTTACTTTTAAATTAATCAACACAAATATTCAATTCTGAAATTGATAATTTATTTCTGGCTTTACTGAATGAAAATTGTATTTGAATAAAAGTGTCTAGATGAATTCTTTGAAAAAGTTTAAAAATGTATTCATTTAGAAGGTATCTAGTTTTCCAATAGCAAATTTTGCCCAGTTTTCTTATATAATTGGAGGGATGGTCTGAAAGAGATAGTTACATATATAAAATATATTTGTGTAATACCTTGAAGAACTTCTCTTCGTTGCTTTTCCGTCTTGGACTCGAGGGCGTCGAAGACGGCGGCGCCGATCAGCAGATAAGTGAAGGTGCACACAATGAGTGATAGCGTGCGAACGTTTTGCTTCTTCATTCTTTAGCGCCCGTCATGCTGGGGCCTGCTTGGGGCCGGGGGGCCGTTTGGGGGGCGCGCGCGCCACCACCGCTAGCTGCCCCCCGCGCGCTCCCTCGCCCACCCCCACATTACACCGGGCTCACCGACTCTCAGATCCTCTTCACCGCACTATCGCTCTTCCTCAAGCTCTCTTATTCTCTCTCTATTTCTCTTTTGCACCCTAGCCTCGCCTCCCTCACGCACACTATCTCTGCCAACAAACAAAACAGATGATAGAAGATGAAGAGAAAAACAAAAGACAATGAACGAAAGATCAAACACACTAAATACACCTGGATTAATCAAGAACGCTTGTAATAAAATGTGAGAAGGGTAATCGCGGATTTCACGTGTTTCGGACGAGGGAAAAGTAAAGAGTTTTACGAGGACTTTGGAAGAAAGAGGGCGGACGACTGGCACGCGAAAATCGTCTTGAAAGTGATAGCCCTAATTGCCTAAACAAAGTGGAAAGAAGTTTCCCAGGCAATTTCCACTCTTTTTTTATCTAAAGTTAATCTTAAACATTCTACCCTCATCCTCTTCCGCTTGCCCCTCGGGCCTTTCAAACTATGTTCAGTTAGACGCTGCACTTCTAAACAACTCACATTACAGAGGAATTGTAATGATAATTTTCACGTCAATTAACACCCTTTCAACACTAACGTATTAAAGTACAATTTCGAAACTCAATCAAAAAGTTTCAACTTAAATAAATTAATGTATTCTGTTTCGGAAAATTGAGTTTCGATTTGAACTGGGATGTCCTTTCTGTTGCTGCTGTTGTTGTTGTTTGTCGGATTGTGCACGGGTATTTCCTCAGGGGACGAAAGGACATCTACCGCGCAATTTACCACCTGCATAATTGGAAAAGTTCGTGCGCGTTTTAATTAGCGTAATTGCCAGGAATTTAATTGGTTTGAGATTCGAAGCACCGCGCGATTTATTTATAGACTCACGCTTCACGTTATTAAGCAGAAAATGTCGGGTTAATCCGCAAAGGCATTAATCAGCGAAAGATTTCTGGTAACGAAAGTTGTTTATTTAAAGATTTGCTCTCAGGAAGAATTATTAATTACGTTGTACGTTTGGTTGTATACCAATCCTATTATGCGACGTGTGTGCGTTTTATTATGAAATTGACGGATGGATTAATTGAAACAAAGTCTTTGCGCGCCAGCCGCGGCGGTTACGCTATTGTTGCGAATCGATTGAATGCAAATTGCATTACGGCAAAACGTTTCAATTCGGCCGTTGAAATACACAAATATATATGCATACACATACACAATGCGTGTTTTGCAATATCACCGCTTATTGAATTCGTATTTCCTGCATTCTTTCGCTATTTACGATATATCCACGTGAATTCTCCGATTCGAAAATTTGCGGAATTCGTATTACTTGTATATAACACGTGCACGTTTCCGTTCGAGTTTATTGTCGCCTTTGAATGAACGAGAACAAAACTTTGAAAAGGTCGAATTTGTATATTTACATTCAATATATAAATCACAAAATAAATTAGATTCTGCACAATTCTATTATCGATTTTAATCCATTGCAAATTGTAATTATTTGCTAGAATAATTGAAATTCTACATGTCCTATTTTCCATTTGAAACATTAAAATTTAACAGATTATAAAATATAATTATTTCGTCTCATTCAATGAGCTGTAATTTTGTGATGTTATTCTGCTTTGTAGGTGGTAAAATCTTTACAAACCTATTACGTAAATATTTCAAAAAGGTCGTGTTTTGATGCGCTCTTTTTGGACCATCCCAAACGCAATTTCGTATCATGAAAACAGTTTACTCAAATAAATATTTAAAAGTTTCATCACGTTATTTTTCTTTTTTACATAGCAGCAGCAGCATTTCTTTTATAACATCATTCCTATGGGATTCTGCATGGCGATAAATGCTTTAGTGCTTTGCTGCATAAATACTTAAAAAGTTTGCGGAATTTCTGCGAACCTCCCTAAACCGACATTCCTTCATATCCTAGAGCATTATTTGGTTTAATAATTTAAAACAAAAATATACAATATTAAAATACGAAAATTTTAGTCAGGATTTTATGGAATTTTTTTTTTTATTTTTTTTTGAAAGATCAAAATGATTATTGAATTACTTAAATTTATAAAGAAAGGATAAAAACTTAATCTTTGTTAATTTTCAACTCTTTATCTGTTTATTAGAACTTTCTTAGAAGTCACTAATAATATGAATTATGCGTGAACAAAATGTTTACACATTCTGATGTAATTGAAGCAAATTTGTTATGTATTATTTTATTTTTTTATGGACTAAACATTCAAGAACGTAGAAAGATATTAATACTGTTTGTTTAGGTAAATGGGAACAAGTTGGGAAGCACTGGTCCCTGCAAGATTTTGTGTTGCTATAGTAATCGTTTGTTTTTTTTTGTGTTATTGTCTATTTAAATATGTGTTTATTGAAGCAATGTTTGAAAGCCATAGGAGGAGAGGATTCCTTGGAACGACGGCACCCTTGATCGATAATACTGGAGGCGGCGTGTGCGGAAAAGGTGAAATGCACGTGCGAATTTCGGAAGAAGATATTGCAGAAAAGAAAAATTAAAAAAGGGAAATGCAATGTAACTAAATGAATACAAACAATAGGCGTTAATTTTTCCGGCGATCTCTTGCTCTCTCTCTCACTGTGTGTGTGTCTCGAAGTGAGAGACGAATCGATACGTGCAAAATTCATAATACATGAAGCCGATTGCGTAACGGGATGAACTTTTGGGTGGACTTCTAGTTGTCTTCTTACCTAAGAGAGATGCCGCAGGATCGTTTCACTTTTCCATTACACGAAAGGATGTTGCACGTACGATGATGATAACACGCGCGTACACATTCGCACTGTGGCGGACACGAGAACTGCGAATGATGATCCGCTTTTGGAATGATGATGCAAGTGTGCGTGCGTGTTATAAATATAAGGGAAGAGAAGTCTCTCTTTGTCTCTCTAGCTCTCTTGTTTGTCACTGTTTCAGCAAGTCGGATGACGGTGATGATGATGATGTTGATGAAGAGGTGGAAGTGGATGCGGCGGTGGAGGAGAGCAACACCATCGTCGCTTCCTGTTGTCTTCTGATGGAAGGGTTAATGCGGCACTACGTGCAGGACCTGTTTTCGGCTGGAAGGATTTGTAGGAAGGACCGAGGAGGGAGAGACACGGACAGAGAGAACGTTCGACCGACCGACCGAGGGAATAGGCAGAGAATGAGTGAGCGTTTGCGTGAGTGCGAGAGAGACGATGACTATATCGGATCGGGCACTCTGTTCTATCTCTTCTTCCCTCCTCACCCTTCGTACGAATGTACGTAGAGTGGAGTTGCACGCGGTCCTCGTACCTCGATCGATAACGACGTCGCAGTGACGTCACGACGAGTGCTCGAGGGGCGGCGGCGGAGACGGCGAGGGCGAACGCGACGTGGCAGCGCAGCCTACTTTCGTTTATTTTATTATTTTTTTTTATTCCCTAATTCTTCCTCCTATCTTTAACATCACCGAAACGCGACGCACGATATGAAAGTGCGTCGTGTGTCTGAAGAGGGATGATTCAACCGCCTCCGCTGCCTTCCTGAATTTTTTATCGTGCCCCGCTTTGTCGGAGGATCGCTGCGCCAGAGAGGGCGCCACGAGCCGCCCCCGGTGCAAAAAAATAAAACAACATCGCGTATGTAACATGCGATTATCAAATTAGTGCTAAGTCCACCAGAACATACCTGTCCCTCCTGTCTATCTCTGATTTCGACAACGCGTTATCCCGAACACGACGTAAGTACACATCATTATCAAATCACTAATAAGTTTCACTTATAAACATATCCCTTTCAATCGGATCTAATCATTGAAAACCGCTTGCAAATTAATTTCTACTTAAGGTGGATGCGCCGGGTGCTACAAATCATAACCTCCGCTAATGTTGATTACAACCTAACAAATAGTTAATTAATTAAATACCCAAAATCTGTTCATCCATTACACATATTTAACACAATTTAATAGTTTTATGAAACTCAATATTCATAAATTTAAAATTTATTAATTACTATTACTAATGAACTCGTATTTTATATTAATATCCTTTAGTTCATACTTAAATTGCTCTAAAACAGCGGTCGGGGAACCGGGGTAAATTACCCAAAATGGGGTTAAAAAAAAAATTCTAATTTCATCTTACCAAACTCAGAGAGCGGTTCTTTAACTACTTTCCAGATCTTGATGTTTAAACTGTGAATTGGGTTGTAAATCCTTTTAAATGTGAAATTACTAACATACCAGAAGAACCTCCAGGTTTGGCAGAGGCAATTCTTGAACTTTGATCCTATACTGAAGCACGTATTCAATTTGAGACCAAAGCAAATCTGTTGTCTTTTTGGTAAAAAAATTGCTGCCATTTGCAACAACCTGCCTTTGTGAACAAGACTTTTCCAGAAAACATCAAAACGAAAAACAGAAATCGATTAAACGCCAAAGACTGTATTCAAATTAATTAATTGTTTTCAATTAATTTTTGTTTGTTCCAATTTAAGAATTTTATTTTGTTTGTCTATTACTATTTGTTACTATTTTCATG